AGCTCCCAAGACACGCTGCCTCATGTTTACACCATCGCTGTAATCTTCTCACTTGCTTCTCTAACCCAGTTGTCAATACTGCATTCTAATCTGTTTTACATACTGCTCCCAAATTAATCTTTCTAAAGAGCACTATGACAATCACTCCCTGGTCAGAAAGTGGCCATGGCATCTCAGTGGTCAGAAAGTGGCCATGGCATCTCAGTGCCTAACGTCAAGTTTCTCAAGTTGGCCCACCTCCACCAATTTCTTCTCCTCCTACTTCATCCCACTGCACTCCCACCACTGGGCCTTCGTGGGCGTCACCAGTTCTGGCTGTGAACTTGCTTCTCTACTTCAGAGATAAGCAAACTTTTTGTGTTAAAGATCAGATAACAAATATTTTATGCTGTGCAAGCCATATGGTCTCTGTCACAACTGCTCAACTCCGCCCTGTAGAGCACAACCAGCCCAACAACAAATGAATGAGCATAGATGTACTCCAATAATATTTGAATTTCACACAATCTTCATGTATTACCAAATATTATTTTTAATTTTCTAAAGCCATTTAAAAATATTAAAACCATTCTTAGCTCGAGGTGTTATACAAAACCTGATGTGGGGTGGGCTTCCGTTCTTGGGCCATAGGTCGCCACCCTCTGTTCTATACGCACCTAAGTCCTGCTTTTCGTCTACAGTTCAATCTATTCTGTGAACAATTCCAAATTGTTAGTACCAACTGGGCTGTCTTCCCCTTATTAAATTTTCTTCTGTTTATATAAAAAAATTGACCATATTCCATACCTCTGTATAACCCCAGTGCCCGGCATGATGTCACGCCGATAACAGAAACTCAGCATTTGTTGTTTGCTGTCACTAATGAAAATAACTTTGATGAATGTTAGTCACATCACATTTAACCTTGCCACATAAAAAGAAAAATTAAAAACCTGCTATTTAAAAATCTGTTGTGTATACGTACCTATTTCTTTAATCTTAAGACACTTCTGCACACCCACACACTCTTATTTTAATATTTTTGACATTAGATTTTTTTTTTTACTCTATATATCCATTGAGGGCGATGCTAATTTTTAGCACCAAAAGGTAATTGAATCAAAGGTGCAGCTTACAATCAATGGAATCTTACAATCAGACAAATACAGAACACTTCAACCTAATCAGAAAAAGAAAAACTTTCTCCTGGAAATTTTTCTCTTGTTTTGATTTCTAGCTTATAACATAATGACCACAGCTTCCTAGATCTAGGAATATGGTTTTAATGTGAAATATTCTATAGAGTACTCAGACTTTGTCCTAATTTTAGTTTCAGAAAATAGTACCACATATCTGAAGCACAAGTGAAAGTTTTCCTCCCAAATATCTGAGTCAATGGACTGGAGGCCAGGCTCCTGATAGATAGCCCTGCTCTGCTAACCTGCGTGCTCGCATACCCCCTAAAGAATGCTGCAAATTTACGCTGTCAGAAATTCCGAGTCAACATCTGAGATTTCATTCTATTATTAAATAGCTGAAAAGGAGTCATTTCCATTTTTAAAAATAAAAGCATTTAATAACTCTTTAAAATATATCCAACTTCATTGAATTCTATACTCACCAGTATCTACTTAAATATTTACAAACAAGCTCCTCTTTACAGTTAGAAATTTTACTTGTACTCCTTTAATTTGTACTTTTATTCCAGGTGCCCCACAGAATTTTATCCCAATGTGATATATTTTGTGCTTAAAAGACTTACTGATCACTGTACAACACTTCCATGCAACTATATGATCATAATTTTTAAAAAGTTCCCTACAATGTTTTAAGTGCTAAATGTTTCTTCTGGATTGAATTATTATAATTTTTAGTATTATATAATTGATCAAAACAACATAACTAGTTCACACATTTTACTGGAAATCCATAATTTAATGAGATGGGTTTATTGCTGGTTAAGTCAGAGTTCATCATCAATTCTATTCCTTTTTTTTTTGATATAAGCATGAGAAATCATGCTTACATTAATAAGTAGAGAATAAAATTATAATACCACCCAATATTTTGAACATATTCCTAAGTAAGATTTGTACATTTTAGTGTATGTAAATTTTACATTAAAGAGAAAAAATCAGATAGTGATTTATTGCCAAGATTTATTTTTAGTGAATGATCTATCACATGAAAACTTAATTTGGTTTTTCCTTAGTTCTGTTGAAACCAAATAATTTTAAACGAAGTTTAGCAGCCACCTGACTTGCAAAACTTTTGTTGAACAATCACTGTAGTGATTTCCTTTCCCTCCACCAACACCAATAATTCAAAATTCTCTGTGTTTAGCACCCAGAGGTTTTGATACCACAGGCAATGCACTATATAAAGCACTACACTCGGGATGGGTGAGAAGGAGGTCTTTCTTCTGTAAAGTGGGAGAATGGTAACTGTAAAAGGAAGGTTGAATAAAAAGGAAATGGTATAATGCCTAGACCACAGGCATGGTCAAGTTCGTGGAGGGAGAGGGCAGGAGACTGACGACAAGGAAATCAACTGCCTTAAAACTCTTTATACCAGCTTAAATTTTTAGAGTCTTCAGGTACTCTCAGAAGTACATGTTTTCCAGTTGGAAGTCGAATAGTACAAAGCCAATCCTATGACATAGACATAGAGCACTCAGAGAAAAGCCTTGGCCACAAGATGTCACTAAAATCCCAAACGCTACTTGAAGATGCTATTGCAAGGTCCTTTCCTTCAAAATAATCATCAGCAGCATTTGGGTTCTAAACAAGAGGAGGATAAAGGCTCCTTGATTCCTTCTTGATTTTAAAAGAAAAAAAATATGATGTGAAAAAAAGAGGATGCTGAAGAAAGGCCAGGTAGCTTTGCCATACTATCTCATACTGTCTGGGCATTTATAGTTGGTTTCCAGCAAAATGTAATCCAATAAACATGTTTAAATGGAATTAAAATTTAATAATTTAAAGTAAGTATTCTAAAATGGAACAACTTGTAGAAATAAATATTTAATTAAAACTCTCAGAAAATTAATATTTTAGATAAAAAATAAACCTATCCATTAAAGAAAATTTACCTTAGAAATTTTAATGTACCTGTTTATTCATCTACATAGTTCTATGCAGCCCCTAAAACTTTTTATAATTCAAGTTCACTTAGTCTTGAAAAAATTAGCTATTGCTTAGTTATTGAAGAGAGTGTATATCTTGAGAACTTGTGTATTGGCATGCCACATTTATTACAGGTAAAAGTTAAGCTCTTCACTAGGCAAAGTCCAGGAATTGGGACCAGAAGCATTTTAAAGGTATATGTGCACAACTCTTGGGACTTTCCCCAATGTGCAAATCCAAGAGCTTCAAAAGTGCCAGCCTTACAAAGACTACCCTATAAAATGAAGAAAAACATCACAGTGAGCCATGTGAATACAGGTACAGAACTATGACATACCCACTCCTTTACTAAACATGATAACGAATAAAAGCTTTATTTTGGCTAGGAAATAAAAAAGAATATAAAAATCATCTGATAAGAATCTCCTCTCCCCCCAACATATTGTGCAAATATGCTCTTGTTCTACATACTTCCGTAAGAAAAACTGTCTACTGATACATAACGTCATTCTGAAAATGTAACTGTAATTCACAGAATGTGAGCAAAAGAAAATATTTTTTTAAGTTTTTTCATTGAAGTACTTAAAATCTTTCAATCTAGCCTTATTTGAGTGAACAGTAAAAGGAGAAAGTGAAATGATCTGACAAATTGCCAGAATCCCAGAGTTATGAAAGGACAAAAAACAAGGGCATTGAACGGTTGCTAAAAAATGCAGGTGATGATTTCAGTTAAACTGCTTGTGTGAAAAGGTGATTACTGCTTTTTTTTGAACAAAAAAATATATAAAGTCAGGTCAGTATAAACTTTTATTTTTTATTTATTTTTTTGGTGAAGAAGATTGGCCCTGAGCTGTTGCCAATCTTCCTCTTTTTCTTGAGGAAGACTGGCCCTGAGCTAACATCTGTGCCAATCTTCCTCTATTTTGTATGTAGGATGCCGCCACAGCATGGCCTGATGAGTGGTGTAGGTCAGCGCCCAGGATCCAAACCCATGAACCCAGGCTGCCAAAGCAAATCATGCGAACTTAACCACTATGCCACAGGGCTGGCCCAGCACAAGCTTCCAGTGTACAACTTGTTGAACCTCGACAAGAATGATATATAAGCAGTTTTATTTTTTCTCACAATTCTGTTCTATGTTATGTTCCTATAGAAAGAGGAAGCTTGTCACTGCTCTAGTATTCTAAGGGTAGGCATGTGATTTGCAAAACTTCTTTATTATCGATCCACATATAAAATTCTTTTTTGAGTCATATACTTTCTCTCACAATAATCTTCTTACCTAGAGTCACCAAAAGAAATATCTACTTGCAGATAGTATTAAATGGGTTCCCAATCTGTCCTTTGCATTCTGCTCAGGAAAGTATTCTTTCATGTTATGTTGCAGTATCTGGATGTGGCTTTAAATAAGTCCCCGAATATATTATTTCTGCAGTAAGCCAAGAAGGAGACAGGGGAAGTGGGGAGTGAAGCCCTGTAGCACTGAGCCACTTGCACAAGGGTCGTGTAATCTTAATCTCATCTCCTTGCCATTACAATTCACATTATGGATCTGTAGGGATGTCTCTTTGAGACAGTAGAAAGGCAAGTCACCTAAAATCAAGGAAAAGCCCTTTACCGACATTAACAATAACCCAGAGAAATGTTTTTAATCTCTGCTCTTATCTCAAAACGTCATGTGAACACCTTTCCTCTAACAGGCAGTATCCAAGGAAGTTTTGTAACTTCCTGCCCAATTTTTCATACAGCTTTATAAAAATGATGCAGACTCAAGCAATAAAATTTGATGGTATTTCCTATTCCCCTCAATACTGAATCAATATCTTGACAGTTTACTGCTGATAATTAACTGCTCTCTTTTAAGAAGGGGATGAGTCAATTGGCTTTTTGTATAACCCTTTTATCTACCTAACAACCACCTTCATTGCTGCCCAAATAGCTGGCGTTCCTTCATGAAAGACCAAGGTGCTTTCTGTCTAGTCCTCACCAAAACTTACTTCCCAGTGTAATCTTGTTTTCTATATTCATGGGTTTTCAGGCATGAATAGAACAGGAAGTTAAGGACTTCTCACTTATACATGTAACAAATGTATGCCAAATAATGATTCAGCACTGCACACCAGCGGTTCTGTCTGCAAAATAAAATACCTCTAGAACGCATGTGATAGGAATCCCTCTTCCATGTTGTCACTGAATTGTGTGATTTTTTTTGACAGAACTTTTACAATAGCTTGTTTTGTTCTCTCATTATATTTGTTATTAATGTTGATACTGTTTTTACAAGCTTCTCAGCAACAGTGTCTTTTTTTATTACTTTGTTACAGATTTACTTGATATTTAAACAAGTCTACAAGTTAGACCCACATGGAACGGATTGCTTCCTGATTGTCAGAGGCTAGCGTGCATTATTTCCGAGGATTACTTCCGATGACAAGACACAGAAAACACGAAGGACAAACGGACACGATCATTAAGACAAGAGATGCTACAACGTGCTTCAGGGTGCAAGTGACTGATGTAAGGCGGGCCCCCGGTGAGGGGTTTCAGGAGAGGGGGTTTCATGCCACCAAGCGCTGGCTGGGCTGTGTGTACCAGGTACCTGGGACAGAAACCCGCAACAGCGTCTCATATTTGGTTTTATTTTAAGGAATGCAACTCTGGATGATGCTTCTATAATTTTGGACTCTTCTCCATCTTGATGACAAATTTTAAACTGAGATGTATTATTTTACACTTGTTCAGGAAAAATAAAATTAACTAAATTCATTTACCAGAGAAACCAATTTTCTTTAAAAATGATGTGAAAACTCTGATGGTGACATGCAAATATTTGACAGGCCATGTGCTATTATCGATCAGTGGTGAATGGACTGCAGGCAAATGAAAAAGTCCAGATAGTCATTGTCCTTCCTCATATGGTTCAGCTGATGTTTTGAAAACATTACACTCACAGAACCTCTTGCACAGCATATACAGATTCCAATTCTGCATTCACACTGAAGTTCTTTCTACTACTTACATTACGGCATTTTTATGAATGATGGTATTTGTTACTATTCTCATCATTTATCAATAAGCCATTTTTGTGAATTAGAAATAAAAGAGTATCAACTGTAAAATGCAAATTTAACAAACATTAAAATTAACAGGAAAGTACATTAGTGAAGATGAACACCCTGCTGACTTCACGTTCGCTGAGGTCAACTGACTGACACAGTCCTTGCCATGTACATATGCAACTAATGACTGTACATTAACACTGTTAAACCCTTAATGAGATTTTTATGAAAATCCTATCTTACATTTAAAATTCACAAAATGTGAATTATGTGCATAAAATTTTCAAAATATATGTGAAAAAAATGTTTCAGTGCATTTTTTTCCCTCTGAAACTGCAAAACTATTTACCAAGATCACATTCTTTGAGCAGCGTTGCTCTAAACCAAAGGTTAGAATTTTACCTACAATTCAGACTAAGTGCCAAAAGATGACAATGGCTAAAGTGGTAAGAAGCCATCAATGAGAGTCACAGAGAAGCACTTTCTAATAAAATAAACTCTTTATTAAACAGAAAATATTATTTTATACAAGTGAAAGTGAAAAAAGCATAAGAAACGACAAGCTACTTTATGTACCAAGTGTCTTCTGTTAAAAGACCTGGCACAGGGGGCGGCCCAGTGGTGCAAGTGGTTAAGTGAGCATGCTCTGCTGCAGCGGCCCGGGGTTCATCAGTTCAGATCCAGAGCGTGCACCGACAGACCGCTCGTCAAGCCATGCTGTGGCAGCATCCCATATAAAATGGAGGAAGATGGGCACGGATGTTAGCCCAGGGCCAGTCTTCCTCAGCAAAAAGAGGAGGATTGGCATTCGATGTTAGCTCAGGGCTGGTCGTCCTCACAAAAAAAAAAAAAAAAAAAAGACCTGGTACATAGTAAGTGCTCAATAAATGTTTACCAAATTGAAAGAAAAACATTTAAGAGAAAACACTGATACGTTATTTATTTTATTTTATTTTTTAAACTTTTTTTTTAATTTTTTCCCCCAAAGCCCTAGTAGATAGTTGTATGTCATAGCTGCACATCCTTCTAGTTGCTGTATGTGGGACGCGGCCTCAGCATGGCAGGAGAAGCGGTGCCTCGGTGCGCACCTGGGATCCAAAACCTGGCCGCCAGTAGCAGAGTGCGCGCACTTAACCGCTAAGCCACGGGGCCGGCCCTGATACGTTATTTAAAATCAACTTTTTTCTCAGTCTTAAACTCTTGTTCTAGTATAAAGTTGCTCTTAGAATTAAAATTATGGCTTATTCTGCAATTTCTCTTAATTCCTAGGAGTCTATTGTTGTTCAACAATTTTACAATTGTTCTATTACTAGTTCCAGCATCCAAGCCCCTGACATGCTTACCTTTTCTACTGTTACCTTGTTTCTGTACTCTAGTTTCCCCCTACCATGAAGCTGTACTTCTCCAACCAGTACAGTCAGTACAGAAAACCTCCTGTCTTTGTTAAACAAATGTTTCCATTAAACTTCCTGGAATAACTTTGAACAACCTTATGAGTAGCACCCATCCAGGGCCTTGCTTCCTACAGAAAAATGCTATCCCAAATTTGCCATTTGTCTCCAATGTCATTCTTTTTTTTTTTGAGGAAGATTAGCCCTGAGCTAACATCCATTGCCAATCCTCCTCCTTTTGTCGAGGAAGATTGGCCCGGGGCTAACATCCGTGCCCATCTTTCTCTACTTTATATGGGACGCCGCCACAGCATGGCTTGACAAGCGGCGTGCAGGTCCGCACCCGGGATCCGAACCTGCGAACCCCGGGCCGCCGCGGCAGGGCACGTGAACTTAATGGCTACCCCACAGAGCCGGTCCCGTCCAAAGTCATTCTTAAATATTTGTCAACTCCTATTGCTCAGTCTCTTTGAAGGAATTATCTATAATTGATTATTTTATTAACATCTTTATTTTTACTAGGGATTACTAGCAGTCTATAATTTGGCCTTCCATCAACTACCTTCCACTTTTCTTGACTAAAACATGTAAATCTATTTTGAACATATGCAACAAAGCAAAAAAGTTTTACAGAACAGCAGTTTCAAACAACTTCAGAATTTCTAGCGATTAGAAAATAGGAGAATATTTAAAAGCTTCATACTTTTTTCCCTTTTCTAGTCTAGATATGATGTGTAATATTTTCACCCTTGTTTTTTTCCCCTTGTAAATCGAAATACACACATATACTTAAAAATGTATACTTGTTTGAAAAAACAAAGAATGAAGTGTTTTTCAATGAACATGATTCATGAAGAGGCAAAATAATAATTTCCTCAAAAGTAATATTCTTGAGTTGCTAAGAAGATATACAATCACAAAACCATGTAACTGCAAAATTATAGCAGACCTTAGAAATCATCTAATCTAACTGGTTCACTTTTACATCTGAAGAAATTGAGGATTAGAGTTTAAATTCTTTCAAAATAAGGTAGTAGCAGTAGTCAGACTGGAAATAAAGTGCAAGAAAAACATAGGCTTTGTAGCTTAAAAAGGAAGTACAACCAAAAAAAATCTCTACAAGAAAACTATGAACTTCAGCACATTACTTAACTTTTGGGGCCTCAGTTTAATAAGACTTGAATGATTCTATCTACCAAAGAGTGTTGCTGATGGTATTAGATAGAGCTCATATGTCATTATTAAGGAAGATAACTTTGGCTTTATTCATTAAACAAATATTGACTGAGCACCTGATACATATGCTAGGCATTGTCTTTAGCAGACAGGGAAAGGACTAAGAATCTATAAGGCTCTGAATAAAAAGTAGCACTTGTTCCCTTATTTATATCTTTAATAAATATCTGTTGAATCCCTAGTCTCTGTGCAAAGCAATGGAAATACAATGCAAGTGAAATAGCTTTAGTCCCTGTTCTCAGCTTAAAACCTAGTGGGGGATATTAATAAATTAGTAAATTAACAGTAATATCTAAAAGTGCTAGGACTGAAACAAACAAGGTGCTCTGATAAATATTAACAAGAAGGTCCACTTAGTCAGAGAGGATAAAACAATTAAGCCAAATCCTCAAAGATGAAAATGAAGCAGCCACGCAAAAAGCTGGGGAAACATTATTCTAGACAATGTATACAAAACTCCTGAAGAGAAAAAATGCTTGACTTATTGAAGAAATTTCCAGTTTTTAAACTCTATTTCGATCATAGTCCTTTTCTTTCTAAAATATATTACCAGTCTGTCTGCAACAACAAAAAAAATTAAATTCTACAATTTTGGATACTTGCCAATAAAAGCAAAGGGCTAACTAAGCACAGGACAAATACAAAGACTCCTTAGTAGTAGATGTTGGCTGGACCAAACAGTGTGTGCAAATGAGTGGAGTCAAACCAGATGGTGATGAAAACCAGATATGAAATCTGGACTTTATTTTGGAGGTTAATGCAACACCACTAATAGTTCCGAGCATGGAGAATATGATGAAAGCCGTACTTGAAGGAAATTTTAATCTGTCACAAATATGTAAGAAATATTAAAGCAAAGAAAGAAGAAATTGTTATGTAAGTCAACGTTTAGGTAAAGAGGGTCTAACTACAGCAGCAGCTGAAACAGAAAACCATACTGCAGATTTGTCACATCCAGACAGGGCAAGAAATCAACCATGTGGAACACACACTGCTTCTGAAGTGAAAGCACATCAGTGTCATACACAGGAAGGAAGGGGACTAGAGACTGCGGTGAGACAGTGAGCTCAAGAAATTTGATATAAATAAATTGTTACATGTATATTTACATTATCCAATTACCTTTACTCTTTTTCATAAGTAATATTGTCATACATGAATATTCCATATCTTTTCTCCAAGCAGTTTTAAATCAGTAAATAAGCAACTTAAGAGGTTTAATTACAAGAGGATACAGTATGCATTAACACTCCTACTCTATACTTAGATAAACAATACAGATTAAACGCATCTTTGCTTTAGAAATGACAACCTTCATACTGGGGATGATCAGTCAAAAAGGATTCATCAGGGGCCGGCCCTGTGGCGCAGCAGTTAAGTGCTCGTGCTCCGCTGCTGGCGGCCCGGGTTCCAATCCCGGGCACGCACCGAGGCACCACTTGTCAAGCCATGCTGTGGCGGCGTCCCATATAAAGTGGAGGAAGATGGGCACAGATGTTAGCCCAGGGCCAGTCTTCCTCAGCAAAAACGAGGAGGATTGGCATAGATGTTAGCCCAGGGCTGATCTTCCTCACCAAAAAAAAAAAAAAAAAAAGATTCATCAAAAACCTACTATATACGAGGCAATATAGTATAGTAGTTACCACATGGCTCTCAGACTCGAAAACCTGGGTTTAAATCGAGGCTCTACCATTAGCTCTGAAAGCTTGGGAAGTTACTCAACCCTGTTTTCTGGTAAAAGAGGGGTAATGGTATCTCCCTCATTTAGCTGTCCACAAGACTGAATGAGTTAATACACACAATGTGCACAGAAAAGTAACTGGCATATATAATAAGCACCCAAACTATAAATAATAACTATTATTTGTCCTGTGCAAGGCATGGGGGGAAAGAAGATTGCAAAACAAGTAGGAATCACCAGTTCTAGGAATTTACCATCTATTTAGGGAGGCAAAGGTACCTTACATGTAACAATTTGAGAACACTTAAGTGTGATACTAATCATTAATATAGTAAAAGACGAGAGATGGAAAAGATTAACACAAACTATGAAACTAAATGCTTCAAGAAAAAAGGCTTTCCTAAGCAGTTATTGATTTTAGTTTTTGTTCAGAAAACATCAGATCAAATAACACAACTGGCAGTGGGCAGCAGGAGATTCCTTCAATCCTTACATTCATTAACCTAAATGCAACTAATTTCATACTTAAGATTTAGGGTGTCTAAAAACTGAAGATGAAAGCTACCAACCAAAGAACCCTTACAAAACAATTCACTAAAAAGGAAAATGAGATCTGGCAGTACTACTGGGAATAGAAATGAAGAGATACCCAACTCTAGGCCAGTGACTCTATTAACATTTCACGACTGACACAGCAATTCTGGAGCTCCTGGTTTAACATTTTGGGATACACTATAACTTACAGTAAATATCACATTAGATTTTAATATTAAAGCTTTACTGAAAGACTATTGGAAAGGTTCAAACCAGAAAAAAATAAAGCTAAAAGGATTTATTGCACTGATACAGTTCTGAAATATCTTCCTTCCAACTCCCAATAAAGTGGTCTGTCCAAATATACTGTATTCTGTATTGATAAAATCCATATGGCTTAGCTAGAGCCATAGCTATTTAAAATTTCACTTACATGTTCTTTTTTCTGACCATATAATAGGATCTAACCAAATCCTTCTGCAAAGGGCCAAAAGTAGTTCTCACTTAAAGAAATCTAAACCCAGAGACTGAGATTTGAATTCAACATAAGAAGTTTAGGTAAATAACCTATTGATGTATTATTTTATCTTTCACTTGATTCAGTGATTTACAAATTGTAGATGCTCAATAAACGCATGCCAAATAAAGCTGAGGAGTAGCCAGACCCAGGAAGTCATTTCCCAGCACCGCAGCTGTGCTGTCTGCAGTCCAGCTGGCTCCATACAACGGTGGTAAGAAGTGTTGGGGTGAAGGGAGGTAAGAGCGGGTGGTGTCAAGTAAGATCACACACAGGCTCTTCACAGGAAATGTTCTATTTTTAAAATCCTTAATCAGAATTAGCAACCTACAATCATTACTAAATAAACATCTTCTTAGGATAAAGTTTTTGTAAAGGTCTTGAGAATTTTTTTAAAAATATTTTTTCTTTTCACATTTTTATCACTTTCTCCAAAGCATTTTCATTGTTTTTCATTACATTTATCTTGTCAAAATAAAGTGAATTCTGAATTAATATTTGTTTCACTTGACAGTACTTCTGTAGATTTTAATATGACATCTTTTGAAAAACAAAATTCACAAATTAACAACTATCATAAACTAACAATTTCCTAGAGATTATTCTTTCATTCATAAGAAAGATTTAATTTAGTCCTCTAGCTTAGGGACTCAGCCAAGGGCACAAAATTTTCTAAAAATAATTTTAACCTTTAATATAGCAGAGTAGTAATCTAGGGGAAATATAACTATTATGGCAAGATTTTAACACGGAGTATAAGGATCCCTACAGGACTCACAGATGTGCTTTAGGGAAGTCCATGAATTCACTGAAATATGCAACAATCATACTACTATATGCAAACATTTTTTTCTGAGGAGAAAGAACAAGAGCTCTCATTTCTCAAAAAGTCAATGACTCCTCCCATAACCCAAATTAAGAACCAGTGAAGAAAAGCGCATTTAAACTTGCAAAAATAGATGCTAAGAAAAACGTTAAGGCCCAGTTTTCATTCATTTTTATGATCTACTCAGCCATTAGAGCCATTTTGTTAAAACACGTTTCTGATGATTCTTTTCTTAATTAAACCACTATTCCTTAAATCCTTTGCTGGTGCTATTATAATTTCTTACTGGGACTAGGTAACTAGCCTTCCTTTAGCATAAAACTGTTACCTTTCTGAAAACCCAGGGACATTTTCCTATCTTTGCCATTTGCAAGTTGATTTAATAAATTAGAGATAGCTTTTTTCTATTATCTGGTATTTTAGTTAATAAGACACATGAAATATGTTTTCTGGCGTTCTAGATACTAATAAAACATTCCAATGTAAATATTACTTTAAGATTTTTTTTCACTTTAACAAGAAAGGATACTTGATGTACACTCGGTTACAAGGCTCCGACAAATCCGCCTGCAGTAAAGCAAGCCCACATGCCCCCAGTCTGACCACCCCATTACTAAGAACTATGTGGAGAGTGTTGCACCTCTACTACTTGACTCCAGATGTTCCAAACACCAGCTGAGTGTAATGAAGCGAAAGAGACATAAAGCCGGGGTCTCTGCCATTCCCTAACGCAAACAGAGCAATGGGTGGTATAGTCAGGAGTTCACTCTGCACTGTGCTTCTGGACCATCTCAAAGGCCTGATTAAGCTTTAATCTTCCTGAACAAATTTCAATTCCTCCAGGTCTTCTTTCTCCCAACAGGGGAATCTACACCTCCCCTATAACGGTTTCTAGGTAGTCTTAGGACTCGCTTAATATCCCACTCTGACCTTGGGCTTTTGAAATTCAGTAAATTTCAAAGAAAAGTTAAAATGTTCCCCAAATCTGAGTTAGTTTTGGGCCTAAAAGTTTCTTTGTGTCCACGTATGAAATTCAACCAGACGATATGATCAAAGCACCACCACTGATGAGAACCAAAGACAAAATCTAGATGCAGAAAAGTCTTTTACAGAGAATGTAAGCTTCGTCTGCTCACTCATTCACCCATTCAGTTAAACATTAGGTCCTACTGTGTCCCAGCTGTGGGGATTCAAAGGAAATAAAACAGCTCCAATCCTTAAGAGATTTAGCCTATCAGGAGGATTTCAAATTTTCGGGGTAATTAAAGGAGCATGCAGAGACAGCAGCCTTACTTGAGCATTACACAAACTCAAAAACTCAATACTGAAGACAGCTAGCAGCAATTCCCGCCCATCCTGAGCATCTGTACTAATATTTCTGCAGTACTTGACATCAACAGCACAAAAAAAACAGATGGGAATGGTTTTTAATTTTATCCTTTACTTAAGATATTTATCAATTACATGTTACAATGATACGTCAAACTAAAAGAAAAAATTTGGCTTTAAATCTAAACAATACACTATTCTTACAGCAGACAAAAGGGACTTCCCCCCTTTATTAAGTTCTTATTTTAGGACAGACCAATTTGTACTCCTCATAAGAGGCATGGCATTAAAAAAACAAAAAAGATGAGTTTTCTCCTTCTGCTTCCAAATTCTTATTAGTCACTCTAGATGATCACGAGTAGAGTTAAGGGTAAAAGTTAACACGTACAATATATCACCATGACATCTCCCAGTTTAATTTTTTCCAAACGGCATTTTTGTAAATTAAAATTACTAAATCCAAGATCAGCAAGTAGCTGCTAGGTGATGAAGAATTTAAACTTCGAAGCAACTATGGAATTAATCTGGCAACTTAACCTTGTAACTCAAACCTCGTACAACAAATCAGAGGTGAATAAATCCTAATAATTTTAATTTATGACGTGGGAGTATATCTATGTCTATATATGTATTTATGCCCACATTATAAATTTGTGGGGGTTTTTTTAGTCACCTCTTCCAAGATCTATCAAGAAGAAAAACAGTAATACATTTAAAAGTTAGGAACTGGGCACACCTTTTTAAAGATTTCAGCAGTACGTTCCTTTATATGGTAATAAATGCTCTATAAAACCGTTAGCCGAAGCCTTTGATAACAATAAGATCTGTTTTGAGAATAGCACTTATCACTGCCCAAATAGTTCAGAAAATGTTGCAGATTATAAGATTTTTATTTTGGACTACAGAAGATAAGTTTGAAAAATGTTCCTCAAATACTTAAAAAGGCAAATTAAATTTTTCTCCACCTGCTAAATTACTGAACTTTTTGCATAAGAACGTCATTCAAGTTTTCTAAAATGAGAACTCTGAGTTTAAACATCTCTAAAATATGTACCTTTTTTGTTTTTTACAATGCTGTCATGAGACGTCTTTTTAAAATTATCCAGATTTAGATAAAAGTAAATGAGCAACTTAACAAGGGGCCGTGAACACTACTAGTCCTTTCCCATATGAAAAGTACAGATACCAGCCGAATATTCACTAAGTAAAGTGAAAATATTACCTGGTTTCTAAGGCACACCGTTAGTTATAACAACTAAAATGGAATTTATTTGAAGAACTGCATGAAGCTCTCAGAACATCTGCTGTACCTCAGGTAAGAGGCAAGTATTCACATGTTAGTCTGCAGTCAAGAAAGCTATTTCAGCTAAAATATGTCAATCCTCGCATCTGCCATCACTTAGACAGTACTGATGCAGCATCTGGAAGAGTTTCTGTACAGAAGATTTTTTTTAGACTGGCATACAGTGCTCAGTGCTTCAGAAGGTTAGGTAAACTCCATTCTCTTTTGTTCAACAATGCCTCATTCCCACCACATAAAGCTTGGTCTCCAGTCCCACGACCCAGTGCCTGCCTTACATTAAGCTGTACTTCCTTGGTACCACATAGAGTGATTATATTATCAAAGGCCTCTAGATCACTGGGTTCAAATGTAATAGCTGGTTTCATTAATTTTCCAGGAGCAAGGGAATCCTCTCCAATAATTTTCAGGTTGATAAATTTGATTTTCCAAGTATTCTCCACAAAAGGGCAGCGGATGAGTCCAAAAATTTGTTCAAAAATGCCCAAACAAGTGTTCCCTCGGTGGACAGTCCCAGCAACTCCAACCATAACTAGACCATGGGGAGAAGCAGCACATTTCAGTCCACGGGAGTCCAGGTTGGGACTGAAAAACAGATACTCTTCTTTCACTAGCGACAGCAGACGGAGGCTCACAACGTCTGCTCCATGGTAGTCTATCACGTTTTCTTCAGACGTGTTGTAATAAAACCTCAGCTTCACATCATGCCAGAAGTGCTGTGGCCCCCACTCATCTTGAGGGGGTCCCAGAAAAGGATTCTGGGAATTAAGAAGTTCAAAGAACCAGTGACAGAACTCTTCTCCTAATCGAGGGAAATCAACTTTCTCATCTCCTTTTTCCTGCTGATTAAGATAAAGAAAGTAAATATAAAAGAAAACCAAGGTTAATTTCCGTATCTATTTTTCTATCTAGCCTGTTTCAGAGCTAAGTTTTAAGGTACTGATTATAGTAGAAGAGAAATAAAAACACGTGAACTCTCTGAGCCCATCACGCATAGTTAATTCTTTTTTTCAAAAAGGGGAGAAATCATTTTAGGATCTCCTAGCTTAAACACCTGAAAATTCAGCCAAGAAATTAAGATTTAACAATGCCTCTTAAAATATCAGCATGAATAAACAGTCAATAATAATGATTTATATAAGCATTTTCTCTGGATCATATGTGGCAGTGGTTTCACAGCTGTATATCTGTCAAAACCTTCAAATTGCATGCTTTAAATGGATACTCTTTGTTACATATAAACTGTATAACAATAAAGTTGATAATTTAGCATTTTCACTTTTTTTTTTTTGAGGAAGATTGGCCCTGCGCTAACATCTATTGCCAATCTTCCTCTTTTCTCTTTTTTTCTCCCAAAGCCCCAGTACATAGTTGTATATCACAGTTGTAGAGTTGTAGCTTTTCTATGTGGGACACCGCCTTAGCATGGTTTGATGGGTGGTGAGTAGGTCCTCGCCCAGGATCCGAACCAGTGAACCCCAGGCCACTGAAGTGGAATGCATGAACTTAACTGCTATGCCACTGGGCTGGCCTCATTTTCACTGTCTTTAAACAGATACTTCTAATATGATTGAAATAGGTTATATTCTATGATTGGGATTAATTTTATACTATTATTTTTCTTTTTTTCAAAGGAAATGTTATTGCCAAAATATACCTGATAGGTTCGATTTTATTCATCTCTGTATTCCAGAGCGTAGTACCTCACTTAGATGGTAAGAGATCTTGTATTTACTGAGCACATACTAGTGAATATACTGCACACTGTGCTTGGCACTTAAATGCTATTTCCTTCTCTCTTCACAAGACTTATGACAGATATTATCATTATGCCCATTTTATAGATAAAGAAAACAAGGCTCAGAAAGGTCAAGTTACTTGCTCAAGTTCACACCTAGCATAATGGCAGACTCTAATTTGAAGTGACATCTTTATGATTTCAGAGTCAATGTTCTTTTTAGTACATTAAGAAAACCCTTAGAAGACCCTTTCCTAATGTAAAGGCAAATATCTCTCACTGTAAAACCTCATTAATTCAAAACATGTGGCATGTAGTTTAAAAATCTGCAAATTACCTAGAGGTTCAGTCAATCTACATTTAAATAGTCAGACAATATCTCGAATGTACAGTGAACATACAAAGAGACAGGAATAGCCAACATCAACTGGAGGAAATTACAACAGGATATTTTCTAACTAAAAAAAAAATCAAATGTAAAAAATATTTAAGTTTCTTTCATGGAATTTTTTGCAATTTAATACCAAAAAAAGTCTTCAAAACAAGAAAGGGCTTACAACAGCATTACAGAGAACTAGAGGCTAAATTAAAGTTAAACCCATCCTGCAGTCTATCTACTCTGTTTAAAAATCCAATAGTCCTCATTCGATAAGGGGCTAAAAACATTTTTTTCTCATAAATCAATAGATTATATAGACAGTACTAAACGTCAGAAATATTTTGTCTCTTATGTGCTTTACTGGTCTTCCTTTAGGATGCAAAACATATAAAGCTAAAATTATAAAAAACAAGTAAAATATTATTAACGAACCAATTTAGATAACCAGGATTATCTAAAGAACTTCAGACAGAAGTATGGTTCAGAATATAACTAAGATCTATTTTACCTGTTGAGAGGGTCTAATATCCTCTGTCTTTACTGGCTCTGGAGTTTCCTTCAACTTCAGCTGTAATTGCTTTTTCCAGTAATCTTTTGCATGCTGAATGAGATTGTGTTTTTCAGTAGCTGGAGGTATAATAACCCCCTGTGCTGCCAAGTACTTAAATATGACTTCTCGGTGGACTTTTTTACGCCTCAAAAGTTCTTCTACACTTTGACTGTACACTAATATTGCATGGATGGCATCTAGAAGGAAATTGTAAAGATTAATAGAAAATCATGAATCACTGTAAATTTGCAGAGGGTCAGTAGAAACTCTATCAAATAATCTTTATAAACTCTTGATATGGCATTATTGCTTTTGCATGAGATGGTTATCATTTTTAAAATCCAGGAAGTAGGCTGTCAGGTTTTGGGTTTAAAAAAAAAAACTTCTTTGTGCTTTAAACTTCCCTACCTAAAATTCCCTCTTTCTTTCACTTCTCATAAGAGATAGTGAAATTCAAGCATTTCCTTTTAAAGAATGGTGTCTTTTAAGAAAAAAATTAAGCCAGAGAAAAAAAATTATTTTTTTAGTAAGGCCAATGGACCTAAATTCATTTACAATCCCCAAAAATAGGTAAAATTACAATATTTTAGATGTGCAAGGACTTTTAGTGCCATCTCCTCACTCTACAGATAATGAAGTCAAGGATCCATGAGGTATCAATCATACTTCTAAGAAGTGGCAGAACCAAGACTTGTACTTTTTTTTTAATTTAAAAAAATTTTATATTAAACAGAGCAAAGATTATTTTTAACAGGTGTGAGGTATACAGAATGGCAATAAAATGAACTCCCATATGCACACCATGTAGCTTAAGACATAGGAAATTACTAGTCTCTCTGAGGCCCTCATTTACCCCTCCCTACTTAATGCTAGTCCCTCTCTCCTCACCCACCTCACAGGAGCCACTATCCTAAATGCCATGTAGCATTCCCTTGTTTTTCTTTATAGTTGTATAGCATAACTATATATCCCTAAACAATATAGTTTGGTATCTTTTGAACGTTCTATAAATTCAATCCATCAATATATTGTCTTCTATAATTAGCTTTTCACTTAATGTTGTTTCTGAGATTAACCTATGTGGATATACATAGCTCTAGTTAGTTCATTCCCACTGCTGTACCACAGTTTACTAGATGACCATACCACAAGGTGCCTTCCTTCTGTTTACAGACTTTCCTTCTGTGTGTCCAGTTACAAGCACTATTGGAACATGCTCATACATGTTTCCCAGGGCACAGAGGGGCAAGCAGCACGAGTATCACCTGGGAGCTCATTAGAAAGGAGGAATTTCTGGGCCCACCCCAAAACTGCTGGGCCAGAATCTGCATTTCACAAGGTCCCTGAGGGAGTCATAGGCACATTCGCATTTGAGAAGCTCAGGTCTAGAATCTATGCCTTGGAGTAAGCGAATCTTCCATTTTAGGAGAAAATGTCAAACTCGTTTTCCAAAGTGGTGGTTCTGCTTGACACTCCTCCAGCAGCTCTCACAAGCTGCTGCACATGATCACCAACGCTCCAAGTTCACAGGGTTAGTGTTCTGCCAATCTGGTACGCAGAAAAGACACCGTGTGTTTTCGGTTTTCATTTCACTGCTTTCTAAAGAGGTTGATGATCTTTTCATATGCTTATTGATTATTTTTTTCCTCTCTGAGAAGTGTCTCTTCAAACCCTTTACCGTTTTCGTCCTGGGTAGTTTCTTTTTCTTCTTGCTTGCTTTCAGATCCACTATCAATTAAATCCTGCATTTTTATTTATTATAATTTTAAATTCACACTCACCATGACTACCAGAAGGTGATTAGCATGTAAAATATATAAATGCTGAAAAACTACATCAGATTAAAACTATTTTCAGTCTAAATCCTTAGGAATTTATTCTTTTAATCTTCCTGGTTTCAGGTTTCAAACGAATGATTTTCTTAAATGGCAAAAATGTAAATCTGATTTAAAAGCAAAGAAATAGTTTTAGAAGGCAGAACCTTTTGAGACAGTTAAGTCATATACTAATACAGAATTCTAGAGTTTCCACATTTTAAAGTAAAATTCCCTGCTGAAAACTAGCCAGTTGATATACAAAACGAAATAAATGCTTAAGCTACTGACTACATTTTTATTCGGACTGGTTACAATCAAGGCTGAATGTTATTAACCCTTAAAATCTACTCTGCGAAACGTGTATTTGGCTCTGGAAGTAACGTAGTCCGACTACACAAAATCATCAGAAAAACTCTGGATCCAAAGAGACACGGATTCTAACCATGGGCTCTTTCACGGCGGCAGCCGCGTCGCCGGGAGACCGACAGTGTGACCGCCCGCCGGACGACAAGCGTCCGCGCGGCAGCAGACACCCTCCCTGAGCGCGGCCGGACGCGGAGACCCCGGGCCCCGGACACCGTGAGGAAACGGGCCAGGGCCCCACTCCGAGCCCTCGCAACGGCCGCACCCGCCCAACGCTCAGGGCGAGCATCCGGCC